CAAAATTACTTTAGGTAATTCAGTATTATATGTATATGTAATTTAAATTCCTCCACAAGTCAATAATCATGAAATGGAATGATTTCTGGACGATTTAAACTTATTATCGCTAACGTAAGTAATGTTAATTTTAGGCGATTTTAATGTCACCAATTATATGTATTTGCACGTAAATGATTAACAAGTCTTATTTTGAAATTAACAATTTTAGCCAATTCGACAGTACCTGCAATGCATACGGTAGAATGTTATATTTATGTATATCTGACATGAAATGTGTAGTTTCGCGAGAAAGCCAACTAATAATTGGAGTTGACGGTTATCATCCTTCACTAGTCGTATATGCAAAAATAAATAAGATTAATTTCTCTAGTTTTCCAGAACATTGCAATAATAAAGCATATAATTTTAAAAATGCTTCCTGGACTATATCTTTGTTATGTACAGGCTGGTCCATTTTCGATGGGAATTCAGAGTATTTCAGAAACTACTAGATAAAGATATAATAAATCTGACACGACGTTCTCGAGCTCGATTTTCATGGCAAACTCGACTGTCAAATCAGAAATTTGCTATCTTTATTTGTTTGTGAGTTACAGGGCGTTTCTCGTTATTGTCACGTTTCTGAACATGTCTATATCTCAGCTGTTAAATAAGTTAGAGTTAAAGTAAAAACTGCTCAAGACTAATTCTATGGCGTAGAATTGAATGCCCGTATTAGATTTTTAGTAGATCTTAAGATTCCGGAGTTATGACCCAAAGTTATATTTTTTAAAATGGAAATCGTAGCTGACCATGACCTAAAAAATAGAGATTTTTTTTTGCTTTTTAGCAATATATCACATGCTATAGTTATTTTTACAAACACAGGTGATACGGGGTGTTTTACATATAAATTATATATTTTTTGCTTTTTAATATGGCTGGCTATGATACACATATAAAACTATAATTCTTACTTTTCAACAACTCATATCTGTTGTAAAAATATGACGTTTATTTTAAATGCACAACATGATAATCGTATGATAATATAATACCACAGACAATATAGCGTATAGCTATTTTGTCTGTGATAATACTCACGAAATTTTAGGAGAAAGGTGGATAGGAACAAACGGACCGATCAGATGGCCAGTTAGGTTACCTGATTTGAGTTCGTTGGACTTTTTCCTTTGTGGTTTTCTAAAAGACATTATATTTAAAATTCATTTTAATAATATTTTGAAAATAAAAATGAATACTACTCGAAGAGTTGCCAGAAGATGCGCGAAATGTGTGACAGTCGAGGGACGGCAATTTGAACATTTAGCTACCATTTTTGAAAATTTTATTGATGTAGGTATTTACTACTGTTTAATTTACGTTTAATATTGTAACTTGAGTTGAAGTGGAATAAAAATTTTAAAACTCTGTCTTTTCTTATCTGTAATATATATTTTAAATAGACGTCATATTTTTACAGTAGATATGAGTTTTGTAAAAGTAAGAATTATAGTTTTGTATGTATTTTTATAGCCAGCCATATTAAAATGTAAAAAAGATCGGATTTATATATAAAACACCCCGTATCTATTGTGTTTGTAAAAATATCTATAGCATGTGATATATTGCTGAAAAGCAAAAAAATCTCCATTTTTTTTAGGTTAAAGGTAAAAAAATATAACTTTTAGTCATAACTAAGGAATCTTAAGACCTACTAAAAATCAAATACTGGCATTTAATTCTACGCCAAAGAATTAGTATTGAACAGTTTTCACTTTAACTCTACCTTATTTAGTAGCTGAGATACAGACATGTTCAAAAGTGTCACAATAACGAGCTACACCCTCTAACTCAGAAACAAATGAAGATAGCAAATTTCTGATTTGAAAGTCGAGTTTGCCATGAAAATCTAGCTCGAGAACGTGGTGTCAGATTTATCATAGGTATCTTTAATAGTTTCTGAGATACCCTGAAATCCCAGCCTGTTACATACTAACTATTTTTGAAAGATTACACTGATTTATAGGATCAGTGGATTATACATAATATATAAAAAGTTTAACGTAAGATTTAAAGTATGTCATCATAATAAATATAAAGAGTGTCGTAGTATGTATCAGTTTAATTAATTTAAACGTTTGAGAAGTATTATTGAATAGACATTTCAATTGCTTATAATAATTATCTCACTAACATTCAAATAAATTTTAAATATGTATTATCCGAAAAATTTTTGGTCATTTGGTCAAAGTAAAAAGCGTAGTATTACCATATGAAGTCTGTGGTTCTGTCACTTTTTTCTGTTTTTTGCTTTCAAATTAAGTCACATCTGTCTAGTTTCAATTTGTTTTAGTTTACTGGGAATGATAATAATCTATTATGAACCTGCAAAACAAATGGCATGCGAAAATGGTCAAATTCCCAATTTTCTAATAAATGATTATTATGGGAGTTTTAAGTACAGCACTACATCAAATTTTGAATAGTCTTTTCATTAACTTTTCCCGATATTTAGAAAGTAACAAGAATAGTAGAACTTAAAAGCGGTGAATTTGAAAAGGAGCTTTTATTAAGCAACTGATGGTCTAAAACATTACGTATCAAATTGAAAAAACATTTTTCACATGAAGGTTTAAACAAATTTAAAGCTGTTTGACATCGAAGCTGCCGCGCGCCGCAGTGCGAAAGCGCTGATGGCAGTTTCAGCGATTTAAATTTTATGTTCGAAAATGCTGTTTATTGAAATCTCGTTTAGAAGCAACACCAAATTTAAACGAATTACTTAAAGACCAGGCGGGATCTGTTTTGGTGTAGATGTTTTTATATAGTACCGCTAATTTTTGTTTTAATAGCTCCAAAATGATATAACAAAACATAATTTCACTAAGCGCGCGCTTCAAAATGTGTGCTAAACTTATTATTAAACAAATAGTGAAACAATTGGAAAAAATCATCCATTTTTTTTTCTCTTTGTTTCAACACAGTTCAAAATGTATTCATTTTAGAGAAAAGTTGAAAAGGAAAAAAGATTCGTAATTAAATTTTACACAAGATATACCTATTTTCAAATAAAATAGTACATAATTATTGCAAATATAGCAAAAACAACATGTGATAAAATTTTCAAGTATCTATAAGTTTTAATTTAGGCTCAGTTAAATTTGCAAAAATTTCAATTTTTTTTCAAAAATTTGGATTGCAAAATTATTACTCGAAAACTATCGGACCGATTTTAACGGAAATTGGAAAATTTTTATTATATCAAAAAGATTTTTTTGGCCAAGTATGAAGATCGTACCTATAATATAAGTACTTTTAAAAATATCGCAAAAAAAAATATTGTAATTTTTTCTCACTTTTTTTGTTGTGTTTGCTATATTTGCAAAAATTGTGTTGTATTTTTTTATTATTTATTATTATTATTATTATTTATTTATTTAACGACGCGCGACGGTCAAAACTCACCAAAAGCAACATACCACATTCACTGAAAACCGTTGCTGTTACCGAGATCTATATACAACGTGAGAATTTGCATCACACCAATAGTGATTGTTATGAAAATTTAGTATGTTGTATCTAGTAAAAGAACAGTCATTCATAAAAAGTACCTTGCTTATAAAATCCGGATCTTGTGCTATTTGTTGTCGAAACCACTGACAATATTCCACAATGTGCTAAAAATCATTTTTATTTAATTCCTGAACCCTTTGTATACAGGTATGATAGAGTTATAATAATTTTTCGCGTAGTACACACCATACGGTACCTACTATTAAATACACCCACTTTTTGGCCAATATTGAGAGTACTGCGCCTCGGATATTCCTCAACGAGGTTTATGATATTTTCTTCATTATCGAAAACATATCGGCGGTGGCGGCCTTCATATGTCAGGTGGACATTCCCGGTATACAAGCGACAAGTCCCATTTAAATTGTACTGACATTCTCCGTACATTAACACTAGTTCTTGATCAGAAAACATTTTATACGCCGCCGCCAGCTAAGTAACACTGCAACACAAATAAAGAACACAAGACAGACTGACTACTGACCTACCATCAGATTCGCTTGATTGTGGAAGTCACGTGGAACGTCAGCCAATTAGAGAACCGCTTCACGCATGTAGAGAGTCCGAAGCACGTGCACAAGATGCACGGGGTCGGCTTATATTTATGGTTAATTTTCTTAATTAATTTTCTCGAAAACAGAAGCATTTAAACCATCATTGGCTTAATAAAAGTTACACATTTTCCATTACTCTCATTGCTCATTGCCCTCTATCACCATTTTCAAGGAACGCACTTATTTCAGAAACACCCTGTATACTCGAATCTTTAGTATTGTCAAGGATTATATTTTATCCAAACCAACATGGCTTTATTCGATCTACTCTATCCAATTTACCTCAATTTACTCAATATACAATGGACAACAAAGAACAAATTGATGTAATGTACACAAATTTCTCGAAGGTCTTTGACAAAGTTAATTATGGCATAGTTCTTAATAAGTTGTTTGTTTGGATTAAGCGATAATATGATTATTCTCATTAAATCCTATATGTCTCAACGTGAACGAATGTTTCATACAACGCATTTAAATCTGACAATACTATTAGTTGTAAAATTAGCCCGTCCGAGCTGAAAGCTATAATTATAGGTATACTTTTTTTGTATCCCAATTCCTAATACTACGCCTTTGAACCCGTGGGTTCAGCCGATTTGGTGGTATATTTATTTTTTTATAATTTGACTCTCATTATTCAGATAAAAAATTCCTCCCCCATTTTGTTACATATTTAAGAACTTTAAAAATGGCTACTTTAACTTGAGAAACTACAAAAATAAAGGAGCAAAATCGTGCCGCCTAAGCCCAGGTATTCCCATCTGAAACTTTAATGTAATATATAATAGCAAGAAGATAAATAATTGATCCGGATAATGTAATCTACGAATTTTTTTCTCGCACCTGTTATTTATATGCGCGGCTTATCTCTTTGATTTATTACAGATCCTGCCTCCTTGGAATGCCAAGAAGTCTGGGAATATTTCCTTCAAGTTCCGCACTAACGAAGCCAACGGCCTCATACTCTTCAACGGCGGCATTCGGCCTCCCAGGGTGAGTGTCAGAAATTTTCACGTTTTAGGTCAGGATCGTTACATTCTTTTTCATGAGGGTGTAAGTACCTGCTGGAAAAGAAAATTTTAATAAATTGTTTGATATCTCGTAGATACTAAACTATTGATTCAAATAACCACGCTAGATTATATGATAGTATTTAATATTAAGGCTAACGGTAAGATCGCTACCGAGCAAGAATTAGTTTTCGCTCAATAACTCCCCTACGGAACATAATACATGTACGCAGTATTTGAACAAACAGCAAGTATTATTTTACTTCTAAAAAATGCGATTAAAATTTTAAATAAATTTTTGAAATTTTGAAAAACAGAGGCAATGTAAAATAGTATTTGTAAATTATTAAACAATATTCCGAGGAATAGTTAACTGAGCAAAAATTGAAAAATATATGGTAACATGAAGTGTTTACTTATTACATATTAAAATTAATTTATCTGATAAATAATCGTCGAGGTAGATTTAATTTTTTAGGGAAATGTATTATTTTTAAAAATAAAAGAGTATACGCATTACTAACAAGATATTTACTCTCAGAGGTGCACAAATATAACTTGGATTGAGAAACTTTATAAGCTACTCTTAGTACTGTCTGAAAATCCTATAATTGCTAGTAACTAAGCCAGTATAAAATTAACAAATTTAAGTACCCTATTTTACTGTCTTTTATTTTCATTATTTTCCAATTAACTAGATTTGCAATTATTCTTAAATAATTATTAGATTTAAAAATTATACAAGGGAGATCGATATTGATTGTAACAAATATTTCACTAATTGTAAGTGATAATCCTTACAGTCTAATGTCAAATATTTTGATTCCATCTTCTAAAGGAGGTTGACCGATGTCGATTTAAAAAAATTTCAATAAGTAACCATCTTACAGCCTGAAGTATGAAAAGTAAAATTTCTTGTAAAATTCTAATCATACGTGCATAGTTTTTCTCCGTTTCTTCTCAATTAAATAATGATTCAACAGCTAACTCATACTAGCAGATATCTAAATTCTATTTAATCATCGTACTGATGTTAAAAGAAAGAAATTTTTGAACAAAGAATTGAAAATCCATAAGAAATGTACTGTAAATTGAGTTTTTAAGAATATTGAAAATAAAATAAGTTATGTAAGGTATTAAAAAAATTGCATATACCTACAGGGTGGTCCAGATTTTAAAGACAAACTTCGGAAAAGTACTAAACAACAAAAATTAACATCACTTTGCTCTATGAACATAGGCGCAGAGAGCCACCGTTTATGAGATACAGGGAGTTGAAATTATCAAAAATAAAACATTTTTTTGAAATATCTGGAAAACCGCTTCATCAAATTTATCCAAATTTGGTACACATTTTTTTTTCGAATATTTCTCTTAGTAAATTGAATTACTATGGGGCATTCCATGCCAACTCACTCAGGTCGTGACCGGACCATTTTATATTTTGCTGATTTTTTTTTTTTAATTAGTAGTAGAGTAGCTTTCACGATTTTTTTCAAATTTTTATTTCAACTCTTCAAGAAGTTATGAGAGTTTGAATATTTTGGTTAAAATATTTTCAAATACCTGTAACTTGACAAAAACTAAACTTTTTTCATTTTGTTGTTTTATAAAAAAAAATAGAAAAATAATACATTTTTAGTTTTTTAGGGTTTTTATTGATTTTTAAAACCTAAAAGTGCATTTTGAAAAAGAGTGGCGTTTTTTTTCTTCGAAAAATTCTCAAATAGATCATTTTTCAATGTGCAAATTTATGATAGTTTTTTAAAAAAATTTTTTTGTATTTTAATGTTTTACAGAAAATGAAGGCTGTTAAATCAAATTTTATTAGAAGTAAATCGCGTTGACTAGTTACTAAAAATACCATATTTTTAAAACTTTTTCTTCTTTGTCATTACAAATATCTAAATCAATATTAACTAAACATTCAGTTTTTTTCAGTATTAAAAAGTTTGATATTTCAAAATAATAATAATAATAATATCTAATAATAATAATCTTTATTATGCTTATAAGATATTACAAAATAATATATAGCATTAGTCAACACTTGGAGATAGAACACCGAGAAACTAAAGAGAAAACAAAAGAAAAAAAAAACATTTACAAACATAAAAGAAAAGAACTAACCTAGCAAAAGTATTCGGACAGAATAAAAACATTTAACTGACAAATACAATCTTAACTTTCGTTTGAATTAGCCAATTTTTTTACAATCTTTTATTTCGTATGGCAAATGATTAAATATTTTGGGTCCTAAGTAATTTGGCCCTTTACCTACAATTGATAATTTTGTGAAAGGTATACGTATTTCATTATTTTGTCGTGTATTAATATTGTGAACATCCCTATTCAAACAAAATTTATCTACATTTTTAAAAACATACATCGACATTTCAAATATAAATAACGATGCCACAGTTAAAATTTTGTGTTCCCTGAAGGTAGGTCTACATGACTGCAAGTTTCCGAGTCTAACAATAATACCCAATGCAAAATGCCATATTGCTTCCATTTTTGACCATTTTTATTTAGTAAACATATTTATATAGTATGTTTCTTAAGTAGAGATAAAAAATCCAGGGGCGTATTATGTGGATAAAAATAAGGATTTTTTGTTATGTGGGGTCATAGTCCAGCTACAGCGTGTCAAATATTTAAAAAAAATCAGTTTAATTTTTAATTTTTAAGCCGCTTGAGATAATTTAACCAAAATTCAGTGTGCATATTTAGTTTGACAGTAGGTATGAAACAAAAAATTACCAGCTTTAGAAACTTACCAGTGGCGCTGGTGTGCGGATTATTATTTTCCAAAAAAAAATATCACCCTGTATAATATTGCAAATAAAATATGCGCTATTCACTATCTTCACTATTTATTTCTTGACACTTTTTTGTATTCCAAACCATTAACAACAAAATTGATTTATTTGATCAAGTGCATTTTACGATACTCATTACATTACTTAAAATAATAACAAAATAATTAATTAACAATGCAATTACTTTACTATGATTTATTATAATAAATGTTGGAAATGTCCATCTTCAGCCAAAATCTTGCTTAACGCCATCTTGTTTAATCTAACTTATTGGCAAAATCAAAATAACTCGTATATACTACTTGATATTAATTTAAGTTTTCATGTAATAAGAATACCTGTGTATATTTATCTACTCATTTTTATTATGTATGCTGATAATTGTAAAATATGTTGTAACTGCGAGTCTACTTACACTATAACATCTCTCCCACAAATAAAGGGTTTGGTTTTCGCAAAATTTAGTAACCTAAATTAAAAATTAGCTGCATTACCATACGCAGAAATATATTGTCTATTCTATTAAGAAAACTTTTTAAAATTCAGTTTTTTATCCACAGGTACTTTTATTTTTTATTTTAATTAACAGAGGTATTCTACGTCGTCGCTCTTTTGTTTTAATTCAGCAAATTTAAAGAAATATATTCCTTTTATTTTACATTTTTCCTCAAATAAAATAGTAAACAAGGGAATTAATGTCTCAGTTTCATGCAATAGCAGTTTAATACAATAGTAGCTTGTTCTTAGCAACATCATCATACCTGTGCGGATAAACAGAAAATAACTACTATTATATCAAACCAAATAACATTGTATATTTCAAAGGATAAGAAAAAAGTACTTTGTTTGCTTCTTACAAAGAACAAAAACCTTTTTTGTATATATTTCATTTAGATAACAAAATTTTATATTCTACCTGCATAATTATTCATAAGATGAAAAGAAAAAAACTGTAATAAAATGCTTTCCCATGCTAATATAAACCTCACCTTCCGAATATGATCTCTGAAATGAATCACACATAGCGAAATACTAAATATCTCTCACTCTCATGGGTAAAACCAAAGATTAAAAAAGAGATCGATATCAAACTGTAGGAATCCGCTCAAAAGCACAACATTATTAATTTGCTGTTAGTTAATTATGTGACATCAAAGCCTTTTCTGAGGGCGGATTCCTGTCTACGGAAAGGGCAAAAAGCTCGAGGAACGAGGGAGCACGCTAGCATGAAATTTTGATGTAAAACTCAGGTAAACATCTTCAAATTAATTATAGCTGTATATCATCGTATAAGAGAATTTTTTCGTCTTTGAGTATGTAATTCCGACTAGCTTTGTGGAAGTATTGATCCCATACACATACATATTACATAGGGTGATATATGTGAGAAACAATATTTCAAGTCAATAAAGTTAAAGTTGAAATACAAATGGAGAATTTGTTCGTGGAGCGGACATTGATGAACAATGTAATAAAGGTTTCATAAAACAAATTGGAATAAAAACACTATTTTGTTTTAGAAATTGGAATGAGAGATAATATACAGGATGATCCAAGTTTAAAATGTTCAGTTCCAGAAAGACCAAGTTTAACTAACTTTTGAACACACCATTTAACGTTAACTTTTTGAGATACTTTGAGACGGTTTTGACTGAAACTGTAATTCACCATTATTTTGGAACCCTTTATACAAGTTTTCAACAAATAATAGGTATCCTTTGGGCGAAACAACTAATGCACTATTAAAGGATTCCAAAGCCAACCTCGATCATTTAACGTTGTAATTCGTGTCGATAACCTTCTGACAAACATTGATAAGCATTTAAAAAATACCAATGGGTTCGAGAGATGGTTATACTAACCAAAACCATTGTACGTTTTGAAAGTTTATTCCAGAGAAATTATTTGATCTACGTGATGCCCTGCTTGTCTGATTCCTCTTAATGCATCGTTTGTTTTTGTCAGCTTCAGAAATTCTCCAAACTCTACCGTGCATTATTTGCATTATTTTATCTAGGTGATTATTTAAATGAAATATGATTGACCTTTCATCATTTTTCAAACATGGAACCATTATCTGGTAATAATCGCATAAAGGTTATTTCGCAATCGGTTCAACATTTAACGTCATGGATGTATACCATCTTTTCGTTCAATATACGGATTAAAGATTTGAAGGAAACTAGGTTTACGTTAATTAAAACGCCGGAACAAAAACATTAATAACGTTCGAGTTGCCATAATAAACAGTCCATAACACAACAATTTCGATCCAAGAATTGATTCCATTTCCACAAATTACAGGGTTTCAGCAATACTGTTTTAATAACGTTGTGTTCGAAACACACCGTATCAAAGAAATGGGACCATTGGCTAACTAGATCTTCAGACTTGTCCGCACGTGACACTTCTCTTTGGGTTCAAGATCAACATATATGTTTACTGCAAAAATCGTTAGTGAAATTAAAGTTGAAGAAGTTGTATTGTGCAGCTAGTGATGGAAAATTTTCCATTATAACTAGGAGGGTGTGCAGATCGAAATGGCGCCCATTTTGCATGCGTTTTTGGAAACTACATTACAGAAAATTGTAGGAATAAATTTCATAATAGAAACTTTTTTACGTACATGTTTTAAGTGTTAGATTTCACTGACAAACCTTGTATATCTAAGCAATATGCAGTACGTTATCTATTTTACAACCTCAGGAAGTTGTTTCTTGGATCATCAAAAGCTTTAATGATCCGAAGGTACAGATTCACTCGTTTTCAAGACGCCCAAGTTTTAGAAAATATCACATTTCTATCAAATATCACTACAGATTTTTTATACAAATATATGATACTAAATTATCCAAGTAAAAGTAAACATTTACTGAATTAATTTGCAAATATGTCAACAAATGTTGCAGGCAATACTGAGAACCCCTACCATTCCAGACTTTCAACAAACTTGAGTATTTTGGAAGAAAAAACATATCTTTCATTTTATTAGAAAAACAAGATATAACTTTTTTAAATATAAAGTAATCTCTGACAATTAAACCAATCTAAAGTAACAAAAACTATTTATTTTGCAAAAAAAATAGTGCAGGAATTTTTCGATTGCAATACTACATATTTTAAATTCACTGCAACCAGCAAAAACTAAAAATAAGTCATCCATTATAAATATTATTTTTGAATTTTATACGTAATCTTATCAGGATTAATTTAGATAAAATATATTTTGCTTGTTTGTTTGTCTCTATATTTATCGAATTGTAAAAGAAAAACACATTTTTTATATTTATTTTAGGTGGACCTCTTTGCCGTCGAGATCTACAACGGCCACATTTACATTCACCTAGATTTAGGATCAGGTCCATCCAAACAAAGAGGTTCCAGAAGAAGGATTGACGACGGCAATTGGCATGAAGTCACCTTCCGTAGAACGAGTAGAGACTCCAGGATAACTGTAGACGGCTTCCATACCGACTTCAGAACGATGGGTATTATTTTAATTTTTTTCTTCTAATTTATACAAAATTATACAACAACGTAGCGACCAACTTTCAATACTGATACCTCGTCAAGACAAAGTAAAAAACCAACTTCTTTTACTAATTCGAGAAGACCATTTGAACCGTTTGTGCCTTTTGATTTTTTAATATAACTTTTTTGTGGAATCGCCAACCATATATAACAGTTCAGATACTGCTAACGATATTACGCAATATTGTGATCAACGGATTATAGGTGAAAATCAGTATAATTTTAAGTTTTGCAAAAATTTTTGTTTATCGGAATAAATTTTTACAATTTTTTTTTGCTGTAATTTTCAAGAAATTAAAGTAAATTATAATTGGCATTTACTATGGTTTGTTTGATGCTGATCAGTTCCTAACATTGTCATAGTTTTTATACTTTTATTTATGAACAGTACATTATACAAAAAAACATGCATAAAAGCCTAGCATTTCGTTTGAAATAAGATATATTTTTCTTTTTGACAGTTAAAATCCCTCAAATCCTTCCTAATTCCGATGCTTTTATTACAGTTTTACATGTAGCTATCAAAAGCAAACTGTGCTATATCAATTATGAAGACTATACAGGTTGTAGAGACTTCATAGTTGATATACATTTTTATTTAATGGAAAGTAATATACTAGAATTTGAAAGAAAATGATAAACAGGACCTCTCTTGGGATCCTCAGCCCCTTGACAACCCCGTAAAATTTCTATACGTACCTATGATTACCTAGTACTTACGTCAATAAAAATTGTTTTCATAGATTTTGTTAATTGTGAAATTTTGGTATATGCTATGTTAGTTTGGTTATGGTATGTATTTTATGTATGGTTGGTATGGTATGACAAAGTATAATTTCGAGTAATACGGATAAATCTTCAAAGTTAATTGGACTGAAATCAAAGGTGTTCCAGGATTATGTTTTGACATTTGGAGTCTATGCATAAAAATAAGAAGAAAGGTTTAAATGATCACAGTCTTCGAAATAATTTATTCCTAAGTATACTATGAATATTTAAAAATTTTCTCAGACATGATTAGAAAGTATTTTGAGAAATATATTCATATACAATTTTTTCACGTTTTTTCTAAATGAAAATACGAAATTCTCGGACCCTTTATTACATTCCAATCAAAAGAACAGAAGATGTATCTGTTTTACTCGAGATTCGTAGTAGATATAAAAATTTCACAACATGAAAAAAATCTCTAAAATTTAATTTTGCAACAACGAATGTAAATCGCATACCTACCACAAGTACGGGGTGGTCAAATTAATGGGGATTTAAAAAAACACCCTGTGTATCATTTTCTTTGATACTCTAGAATATATATTACTCTCAATTGAATAAAGATGGATACCTACTAATTGGGAAACCACTGTGTCCCTACGGCCGGTTCCTTTTGTAAATCCTTCGGTATTTTTTGTGGACTGTAACTTTCCTTGGATGGTTAGGCAATCTTCAATTTATCTCAATAAAACTCAGACGTAGATCACTGAACAACTGTATTTTAACGCATAGGCACAGATACAAAGTGATGAAGAACAAATTAAAAGGATTTTTGCTGAACGAACATATTACCTCATAAATTGTTTTCTTTTTGACAACCCCTGTCCAATTTCCAAAAAACCAAAACCACCCTGATCCCCGAACGGGATTGTCAGCGCAAACTATTAAGGAGCTTTTTCACAGATCGGTGGAGAAAGATTGGTAATCATTCCTCAACATCCTCCCCCGCGGGTGAAGTAGAAAACCCGTGGCAGTCCGAAAATGGCAGCGGGCATAGTTTAGTAATGGGACGTATGTACTCTCCCTTTTGAGTGCGAAGTTTTACTACACGAACCTTGCCATCTTGACCTTTAATAGTCTCTAAAATTCTAGCAAGTTTCCATTCAAGTGGAGGCAACCCATCTTCTTTAATTAACACAATGTCATTTAATTTGAGATTTGGACGTGAGTTATACCATTTGGGGCGATGTTGGAGTCTATTTAAAAATTCTCGCAAACTATTAAGGAGCTTTTTCACAGATCGGTGGAGAAAGATTGGTAATCATTCCTCAACACCTACTAAGAAGTCTACTAAATGTGCGATATGGCGCCCAACATGGGGCTATGAATTGAGATACACCGTCGACCTACCAAAATTCGAAACAATATGATGTTTATTCTATCATTATTGCTTATTTCAGCTTTTATAATTTGTAGTCAACAGGGAACCAACTACACGGATTAATTTGAAACACAGCTTTCACCGTTCAACAAAATAATCGCGGTCTCTCTGTTTGTTGGTTACAAATACTAAAATATGAAGTAAATAATAATAATAGAAAAATTAGCAGTTGATGTATCTAACTATGAAAACAGTCATAAATAAACACATTTTTACTGTCAAAAATATTTAAAAACGAAAAGTCACTCGCAATTCAGAAGACACAAACATATCGATTTTCGAAACATGAGCTATTTTTTGAAGTAGGCAATGTGTATTTTGTATTTACGTGTTTTTTTTTCAGTGTGAGATATTAATAATCCTTAACTGATCCTTTTGGCGTAAGGGTTTATTTAATTAATTTTTTAATATTTGTTCACATTTGACAAAGCACTCAACCAATAAAGAAAAAAACGAAAACTATGCCACAAATAAGTGGGCCCTTAACTAGTAGAACGGAGAATATATTTCACATTATTTGAAGAATCATCGAGCGTTTAGGTATTGGCAAAAAACTGTTATACTTATTTTTTTAATTTTCTGTTTATTTGACGAAGAGAATAAGCCATGAAAGATTGTCGCAACAAGATTATTACACCCTATACATTGTTGTTTCTTTTGAAAATGAAAAATTTTGAGTGTCTTCAAGATATCCTCCCATTTTAGTCCAAAGCCTCAAATATGCACGAACAATTTCTTGAGGATTTTGAAGATCTGATGAAAATACCGTATTTTAAAAATAATAATAAATAATAAAATTTTAAAGTGACAACTTTACTATTTTTTAGTAATGTAATTTATCCTTGACAGTTTCTCTAACGGAAATATAAAATCAACACTTGTTACTTTATCGTAATAGGTTCTCCAAAGAATCATGAAGTTCCCGCTCAGTAGAATAGTACGTATATTTAGAAGGCCATTTAATTTCTCAGAACGTTCTATATTTCCTCTTCCTGCAAATACGATCCCCATTTGTCACAGCGCCTCGCTTATTTTCATACTATTAACCCATTACCGTTCCGTTTTTGCCGAGTATTTACTCCTCGCACACAAAATTAAATCACTCCCAAATGAAATCGATTTGAATAAATCGCTCGGTATTCGAAGTCGATTAGATACGCCGCGCGCCAGTGTAATATACTTCATACTACATTCAATTTCAAGGAATCTTGTTCGGTGTTTCGATCCCCCATCGCGCATAAAATTTTACGTTAGTTGGCGGTGGTTTTCTGAACGGAGAGATAACTCCAGTCTTATTGAATACCATTCCGTACCGTTATTAATCAGATGAAGATTCAAAACAATTAGGAATTTAAATACGCAGTTGTGATACGGAGCAATTGAAGAACCTGCAACAAAAAGTAAAAGTAAGAGCAGCAGTACGAGTAGTGTTGTATGATAAGCACCTGGCCTTAACAAGAAAAAAGCATTTTATATATGTAAAATTAATTTTATTTTCAACGTAATCACCTTTTCGTTCGATACACTTAGCCTAACGTTTTTCTATCTTTTGCATCCCCTCTAAAAGATGCGATTGCTGCAACCCTTCAAAACAAGTGTTCTTTTCATCATCGTTAAAGCCAAATTTTTTCCCGGCGAGCTATTTTTTCATATTTGGAAATAGAAAATAATCGCTGGGTCCTAAATCTGGCGAATATGATGGATACGGAAGCAATTCGTGCCCAAATTCATGGAATTTTGCCATGGCAGCGGCGAGTGCGTTGTCTTAATGGAAGAGTACATTTTTCTTCGCCAAATGCTAATGTTTTTCTTTTACAACATGGTTGAAATGGTCCAGTAAGTTGATATATTAATAATTTTGCCTTTCTCAAGGTAATCGACGTGAATTATGCCGCGTATATCCCAAAACATTGTAGCAATGACTTTGTTCGCCGATAAAGTCGCCTTAGCCTTCTTTGGCGCAAATTCGCTTAAGAAAACCCACTGTTTGGACAATTCTTTGGTATCTGGCGTGCAGTGATGAATCCATGTTTTGTCAACAATTATAAACCGATACTAAAAATCATTCTGATTGCATTTAAACATCGCCAAACATTCTTTTGAAGTTGGTACACACGCACCCATCTTGCGGAAAGCTTTCCCATATCCAAATAAGTTGTTAAAATATTCTGTACACATTCATATGCCCACAGTCTCAGCAATCTCACGCACTTTCATTTTACGATAGTTTTTCATAATATCGTGAATGTTTTCAATCATTCCTGAAGTGCTAACCTCAATTGGACGACCTAGACGATCTTCATCAAAAATGTTTGTACGGCTAAATTTGAATTCAGCTGTGCAATATTTTGTGGTTGCTAACAAAAGTGCAGTCTCTATAAAATGAAAAATATCTCTTTTTAGATAATGGCAGCTCAGTCTCTTGCCTAGGCCAGGTACTTATCGTACAGCCCTTGTAAATTGTTCAGGAGAGGCAAAAACCGAAATTATATCATTTGGATTTGAAATGCTCATATAAAGACATGTACAACAAGTCACTTATGGTGCAAGAATAGGATTTATTTAGCGATAATCGAATGTGTTGTTATTTAGGTATTTTTATTTTTAAATTGAAATGGATAAGTAATAATCAATCCATTTTTGCGTATATACAAAATAATTATAGATACATAATGTTTAGTTACAAAAATAATAATATTCAAGGTAAACAAATGGCGAAAACAAATACCAAATACAAAGAACCAAAGAGGTATATGTGGTGCAAGAACGACAACCTATATCAGAATTTACATGTTTCAAAAATGATAGACTTATCCCCTTCCATTGAGACACAACCACAGAATTTTGTGAAATAATTCTGTTAAAAGTTAATTTGTAGCATATTATTATTTCTGATAAATAAAATGAGCTTTATTGGAAGCAATTTTTCTTTTTGCAGTTTTAACATTTAGCAGTTTCGTTACAAAATATTAAAGAATTTCGTTAGTAAAAGAATTTAAATTTATTCCCATTTTCGAAATTTGGAAATAATCGTCCTATTTTGATTTTTTCAAATTAATAGTTTAAAACTGCTTTTCACTCAACCAAAGTAATATTTGTAACCAAATTTTTCGAAACCCAGATTGATGTTCAGGTAAAATTTGAAATTTATTCAAATGAGATATTATTTGTTTACTGGTAGAATGTTCAAACAATTTTTATAAATTAAGCAGAATACTGACCGGTCTGAGATCTATAAATGCAGTAACGTTATTTACTTTAAGCAACGGTATTAGCAATATTCGACTGATTCGGAATAACATATTTTTCAAAATCCAAATTAATTATGTGCGTAAAAGTAACAATGAAGGACAACGCTCTAATATCGTACCAAAACAAATTTCGTCCGACCCTACTGCATTGGATTTAATAAACTTTCAGTACATATCTAAGTAAAAGACTATCTTTTGTGTAAGAAGTCGCAAAAAGTTGTCAAAAGTTGTTTACAATTAAAGTCTTGAGGACTAGAAAATGAAAATTTGACGGGAATCAAGCTGGAGAAAGTTCTAAGAGGTGTCCAAGAATTGTTACCAATCAGTATTAAAGATTAGCAATCGCGGCACAAGTTTATACCCACGCAACTTGCAAACAGTGGGAGAACTACACGAAACAATACAGGTTCGTGTAACTAGCCAAATTTGATGACAACCGGTTCAGATTTTACAATTGATTATCAAATAAAAAGATGTTCGACAGATGAGACCTATCCCACCCTAAGAATTTCGACTTTCTAGAAACTGAACCCGACATGAGAAATCTCCATAAAAGTCCACTTCTTTTTTTTAATTAGTAAATACTCCTCTAAAACCTAAGAAGTCAAAATTCTGCTTTCAGTAGCTATATCCTTGGGTACGGCTCTGAAAACAACATCATTTTCGTGGTTCGTAGGTTCGGCAAAACACCCATAAAATCTAAAAATCAGCTAAAATTCTACATTCGGCAGATTCAGGACACCAACATAAACCATAAAGGACATCGCATTATCTTTATGAAAATGTGGGCTTGGTCAAATTGGCTGAAATTGTAGTAAGTTGTTGGCTTTGTGTTACTGACCAAAAGTCTCACAGTACTTGGGTCCGAAAATCAATTCTTTCCTATATATAGATAGCAATATGCGTTAGTTATGCTGATGATGGCTGCAAAGTAGTATGAGTAGAATATTGCAATAAAAACAGTAACTTTTGTGAAATGTTCACCTACTTTGCTTGATATTTAAACATGGCAACGCAAAATAGAATGAACTGTTACATCTTTTATAATATTCGCAACATTTCACAAAAGTTACTGTTTTTATTGCAATGTTCAACTCATACTACTTTGCATTCATCATCAACAGAACTGACTCAAATCGCTATAAGTAAGAAAAAATTGATTTTCTGACCCAAATACATTGGAAACGGGCAAGTGAGTGACTCAAGCTTGTTGAATAAACGATACATCTCTATCCCTAACCCACAAATATCGCATACAGAGTATCATCCATTCACCCGATGCTGCAGGTAAATCCTGGAGATAGGAAAACAAAATCAGTTGTGGGTTATAGAACCATACAGGTCTTAGTGGATACCAAAAACCCCCTGCTCCCCGAAGCCCATAAATTTAGTATAACATTATTTATCTGCGATCATGGTATATCTGAAATCTCTGTAAATGAATAGAGAAAATTGACTCAGTTATAAAACCGTACCTAAAATTTGCAGTAAATCAGTGGTTTTTAGTTGTTCAGTTTTTTTTGTATCACCCTCCTTTGTCTTCCAATTACCTAAGTAGAGGATTTGTTTCCTTTGTTCTTCCGTACGTATCCCTTTTTAAAACCCAACAGCAATTATTGGACAAAAGGTAGTGAAAAACAGTGAACTTATTTTATGCATCATGTCACTCTATGGTGTCTGTAGTTCAAATGAATTTGTTTTAAAGAACGAAGACAATATCACATTTTTTTTTCCGATTAACTTGAATAGGCGATAAAAGATTGATTATTATTGGACTATTGAATTATGACTTTAGTTGAAAATGAACAGTGAATGAATTGTAAATGTAATTTATGCAGCTTCATCTGTTTCAGAGGGTTCTACCAGCCTTGAACTGGACGGCAACATGTACGTCGGCGGCCTAGGTCCACCGTTCTCCGAGATCCCTATTCCCGCCGGCCTCTGGACGGCCGTCCTTCAGCAGGGATTCGTGGGCTGTTTCAAGGACCTCGTTATGAACAATGAGGCTGTGGATGTTGCTAGCTACGCTCGCGAGCAGGACTCCGGTAAGGGAACCTCCTTTGAAATATTAAATTGTAAGCCGCCGCTTTGAGCGCTGGCCTTTGATTTTACAGGAAGTCGGGGCCTATTTTAAAATCCGTCGAAATGGACGTCCGGTTCGATCAAAAGGTCGCCGGCAAAGAGTCGTAACAATGGTCCCAGCCTCGACCATTGTTAATCAAACAGAATTTATAACAGAAGGAATCTATATATTTGACTCCAATATATTGTTTTCCCTGAAACCAAATTAAGCATATAGTTTTTGTTTAAACCTATTTTATTGTAAGGATATTACGCTAGTTCAAATGAATTAAAAAAACAGATGCCGATATAAAATTAAATTTTTATAGTAAGTTTTCACTTTTTTCATACATTTTCGCGTTAAGAACGTTTGCAACATATTAGCATTGTTTCCGATACAAAATTGTAAAAACAATATTTTAAATTAACATTTTTTACATAAATGTATTGGATGGGGCCCCTTAAGTGGCCGGCAATGATCCCCCGATCAAACAGACCCTTATATTATCATTTACCAATTTATATAAAGTAAAATTCGCACTAGAATGTGAGATACATAAAATCGGAAAAAGCAAGCTTTGATTTGATTTGTTTTGATTAAAATTATAGTGTTAACGAGAATTTTAAGGAACGTGTCCAATTTGTATATATAGGGGTAACTTTATGTGGGGGTCAGTTTTTTTAGGGGTACGTGTTCACCTGAATACGAATCTAAAATTATTTTTTCTTTAATCAAATAAACAAAATGCACTTTAATTCTTGTGTATGCCGCCACTTTAATACTCATGTATTTATAACAAGATTGTTGGCAACCTACAGTGCATGTAGAGGGAGATAGTACGGGTCAACGGTGACGAAGCGAAGGGGGTGAGTTGTTATTCCGCATTTGAAGGCAGTATATCTAACTGTGAATTTGAATATTTTGCATCGTTATTAAATTCCAAACACGCTGTATCTCTATAGGGAAGCGTCCTATCAAAAATTTTTATAAGGCAAAACTTGATTATTTTCATCGGTAGAATACGCCATTAAAGTTTGGCTAAACATATCATTTACACCATGTATATTTTGGTTACGCATAAAACAAATATAGAAACACTTATTTAAATTTAATTGAAGTTTGTTTACAGTAATCAAAAAAAGAATTTAAATCTTCTTAGAAGACAAAACAGTTATCAGAATTACTTATTCTAGAGTAAATTTTTAAATCTTCTGCGTAGGTAGAGTAAAAATCTACAAAATTTAAAACAGTAACGGATATCGTTGATATAGATTAATAATAGTAGTGGTCGCAAATGTAAACCTTGAGGAACACCTATTCAAAATAATCAAAATACTCGTCATTGTAAACTTGTGAACTTCTGAAGTTCCCAGTCACTATTTTCTTTGAAACGTATAAAGTAAAAAATGCAAAGAAAAGTTGTTTTCATGCTTGAAGGAATTATGGAAGCCGTGTCTTGTTATTATTTATTATTGAAAGTGCCTACTTATCCATGAATCAGTGCCCAATTACAGGATATGATAAGTCTATCGATAAAACGTAATAGAAAAATAAAATAAATACGAGAAAAAAAAGAGAAAAAATTCAAAGGTACAAATAAAACTAATAAAAATAAGAAACAAATAGACAATACAAACAAAACAAAGAATGCGTCTAGTTAAGTATTACATTTTTTATAGATTGAATGGAACAAAAAAAACTATTGCTGTTATTATTTATTTTCTATTTCATTATAGTTTTATGTATTATACAGGGTGTCCAGAAATTCATGCAACAAAATTTGGTCATAGATCCTTAAGACAAATTTAGGAGACCCGTATTTTTTCTTTTTGCCAACTGGCCCCCTCTTTCTGAGTTACAGCCCCCTGAAATCTGCCCCTAAGAAGTCTTTTTTATATCTCAATACCATGTTGTACGAAAATCATTAAATTTGGTACACAAGGGTTTTACGGCTTTTTGGCGAGAAACCCCCTTAAGACGCTTTTTCGTGAGCCCTCTTGTCTTTGGAACCAGAAAAATTCGGTCGCTAATTTTTTTTAATTATTAGTTAGCTAGAAAGCCATTGAATGTAGAAACTTTTTTGTCTCTTGATATTTGTTTCGTAAAACGCAATGTTTTTGAGGAAAATAGCGAATCACGATAAGCATTCGATAACATTTTGCAATTTTTCTCGAAAACATTGCGTTTTACGAAAAAAGTATAAAGGGACAAGAAGTTTCTAAATTTAATGGCTTTCTAGTGGAATGATAATTTTTAAGAAATTTAAATATGCGACCAAATTTTTTTGGCTCCAAAGACAAGGGGGCACACGAAAAATTGTCTTAAGGGGGTTCCCCTTCAAATAACGTAGCACCATCAGATTCCACATGTCATAAAACACATGTGTACCAAATTTAGTGATTCTCGTACAACAGGGTTCTGAGATATAAAAAAAGATTATTCTTTTTTTATTCGTAGGGGCGGACTTCAGGGGGCTGTGACCCCGAAAGAGAGGGCCACTTGGCAAAAATAAAAAATACGGGTCTCCTAAATTTGTCTTAAGGATCTGTGATCAAATTTTGTTGCATGAATTTCCGGACACCCTGTACAACGGTGATACTAAAATAATGTTATTTCGTGGTCTGGGTAGATTGAAAACCTTATTATTTCTAGCTGAAGGTTGGTTGAGATATGTTGATCTGACATCTGGACAGTCCAATATATTACGGAAAATCTTTTACAAAAATATAACTTGACAAACAGATCTTTTAGATACGACATGACTATTAAAACGGCCAAATAATAAATACTTTGGTAAACCTTGAGAGAGATATGTGTACCGTCTGATAAGTACACAGCTGATCTCATATTCTAATTTGGAACGTATACAAAATTATATATTATATTATTATGTATATGTTATTTAGTTATTGATTTTTAATTAATTTAATGATATTTGAATTATTTTATTTGATATATACTTTATATTTGGATACATTTAGAGTTAAATTGCTATGTTGACAACACCGATTAATATCATTAAGTACATTCTTTAATCTGTAACAATAATCTCTAATATGTTTATTTAACCCAATAGTTTAAGATCGTCTGCACCCATTAAATAGAGTATTTTGCTATAATCTGAGTGTAGAACTTTGAGGCTCGCCAGATTTTTGATGAAAAATGTACGACATTCAACAGATCAATGGAGCATTAAATCTGTGATTTTGTGACAAAAATACTAATAGCAAACAGACTGTGACATCATATAAAAGACAGTCTGTAGATATACGCTTATATGTTTCCTACTCCAATTTACCATTAATTAATTTTTAATAATAAACGTTTTTATACAAAAATCGCATTTTTTGTTTTTTGTTTATAAAGCCTAAATAGCGAAGCTATCTGTATGCTATAAAGACACAATTTGTAGAGAAGGGAAATACGAATAAAACGAGAGGTCGATCGATATGACTGGATAATTAGAAACCAAGAAAACCCGGAAAAATCTGAAAATTTATAATTTTTTTAAAAATTCATTACTCCGCCATTTTTTAAGCTGAAGAGCTAACCCTATGCACAAAAGTAGTGAATTATATGTACTTTAGGTGTGCACAATTATTCAAATTTTCCGATAAAATGATGCGAAATAGGTGAAAAATTCCTCCAAACATGCTCAAAAACGGCTGAACGCGCGTACGCTGTCGAATAGTGGAGGATGATCAGGAAATGAGGGGCAGTGGATATATAGGTATACAATTTTGAATATTGTTAATTATAGTATATTTTAAATAGTTAATTATTCATATAATTGCATAGCTCTTCAGGATTATCCGCAACAGCTATAAGTGTAACATCATCTGCGTGCAACCAGTGCAATCAGTACTAACGTGAGTCGGAAGATCATTTATAAATGTTAAGAAAATTAATGGACCAAATACTGAGGCCCTTTGGGAATTGGAATCTGTCCTATTAAAGTTTACTCATACATAAATGCAGTAAATTTGACAAGAGCTATATTAGGAAATACCTTGAAATCCTACTGTATACATATTTTCATTAATAAAAGTACCTGTAATCTAAGCAATAAAATGTCATTGTTAAATCAAAACAGAGAGCCACTGCATATTTTCCCCCATCAAGACTTTAATTATTTAATTGATTTTCCTACGAATGCGTTACGTTATATTTGTTAAGGTAAAGATCATTTTATTGTATATTATTGTTCCAAGTATTTTGGAAAAGGCTGTTCGTTATTCTATTCAAGTATAGGTGTCACCACACCAATCTATAGAATTAAAAAATTTGCCATCTTCAATGGATACATTTATGAAGAAAATGTTATTTACGTTCTGGCAGAACAATTCAGTTCTCCTTTTATTAAATTCATTAAATTACGGTCCATTTATCAAATTCCCCGACAGTTAACGTCTAAAACATATTCGTGTAGTTACATGAGCGGCACGACAACGGCTACCATATAAGAGTATCAGAGGAGACGCAAGCATACAGCTGCAAATTCGGGTGTAAGTAAGCGATTAAGCTCGAGCAGGGGTGGAAACAAAGCGCCGGTTAATGGAAATGTGAGACCCTTGTCTTTGGCTTTCTTTCGGCGATTTTAGCTGAGATCTTTCCCTTTATCTTGGAACGCGGAGATCTGTAATGTATTTCGTCACCCGTCAAGCTGTGTTTATAGCCGGAGATATATGAAGCAAAACAAAATAACGAATCTGCCAAATTCCTTCATATGTTACATTTTGGGGTATACTTTTTATATACTACAATGTTGCATCGTTTTCTCGTCCATATGGCGTTTGATAATATTTATTTTACTGAATTTACTGTATACGTGTAAAGAATAAACATGCGACAATTACAGTAAAATGATAAGGTCACTTCTGTCTATTTTTAGTTTACAAAAAATGTGATAATTATAGTAGGGGAGCCCAAGAGGGGATTTTGGGATTTACTCAAGCGCGGCAGATTAACATATGGGGGATACCT